CCTTTCTCTCTCATCTCTCTTTCCCTCGATCTTTCTACAACTATGTGTAAAATGTTATGAGAGGAAAACTTGACAGCCTACCCTTTCCATTGCTAAATGAGACAGTTGTTAAGAGAGCTTTGTTCCATTTTGTGACCCTTTTTGGGCCCGGTTGTTAAGTGAATTGTGCCGTTGTTAAGTCAATGGGCTCCCCCATTTGCATGCAAAGCACGGAAAGTAGATTATTTATTTTTAAAAACTGCTTTTCAAAAACCCCCAAGTTCCATTTTTCCAGAACAAGGGGAAGGCTCCTCAACCGATAAACCCATTTTATAATGTCCTTTATTTGTGAATTATTTTTGCACTCAAACCCTTCCATTTTCGCCACCATGCACAACAACCCTGCCAGATCCGCCACGAAAATGTTTTTTTCTCTCTCGTTCTAATCCCAAACCAAGCTCTAAAAAAAAGTGCACATATGTATGTATGTATGTATGTATGTATTTTTCCTGGCTCGCTTCAGCTCTGTTTTCAAAAGTTTACAGCTCTTTTGCATCTCCGATCCTTCTCTTCTCACCTGGCCAAGCCAGAAAGAAATATATATATATATATATATATATTCTTAAAATAATAATAATAATAATTCTGCTTTTGCAGGTTTTCTTACCTGGGAAAGGAGAGCGACGTGCCCCTCTGGGTTTCTCTTCCAGCTGCCTTGAAAGCCACAAGACACCTGACACCTGCGGCACACCTGAGACAGGTGAGCTGGCCTCTCAGGTTACAGGGACCTTCGAGTCCATTAGCAACACCCTTCACTGCCCCCCCTCATGACATCACCTGGACAGGAGGACCAAAGGCAGCCCAGTGGGATATCTAGCACGCACCTGTCCATCCGTCGGCCGGTGCGTTGGTCTCTGCCAAGCCGTGGGAAAATCCCAAAGGATTTTCGCAGGAGGGGAATTCTGGATTTCCCACCCTCCCCACCCACCTCCCAAAGAAATCTGGGTTTGGATCCTGGGCGAATCTGGCTTGCACACCGGAGCAAAGTCCAGTTTCCTCACTCTGGCGTCGCGACGGCGAGAGCGTCGCGTGAGATAAGTCAAAATGCAAAGTCTGTGCCAAACTCCATTTATCCCTGGCGGAAAATAGGATGAAAGTTGAACAGGTGGCAAACAGTGTTGGACAGCCAGACCGAGGCAAGGCTGATTTCTTTTAATTTTTTATTTTTTAAAAAAGCAAGGATTTTCCTAGTTTAACACAATCAGAAAGTTGGAAAGGAACCTCCGAGGTCATCTAGACCAACCCACTGGAGACCCCCCCCCCTCCCATACCGTTCTGCAACATGGCTCTCTGGTCTGTTCTCAAAAACCTCCAGCAATGGAGCAGTCACAACTTCCGAAGGAAACCACTGATTAACCTGATCTGGCATTACAGAATCACAAGGTTGGAAGGGACCTTGGAGGTCATTTAGTCCAACCCGCTACTGAAGCAAGAGATCCATTCCAGACCAATGTTCTTTGCTTTTGTGAAACTCGGAGCTGTCCAACCTCAAGGCGGGACACCTCAAACGACATACAATTGTCTGTTTAGTGACGGCTTAGGAATCCACGGCACTGAAAACAAGGGAGTTACAGCCGTTATCCACACTTATGACCGTTCCAGGTCCAAAATTTAGACCCTTGGCCACTGACCCATAGTTACGATGGCTGTGGCGTCTCGGGTGGATCACGTGGTCCCCTTTTTGCAAGGTCAACGGGGAATTCTGATTCACTCAACAACGCCAACGTGGAAGACTCCCTTCACAAGGGTCTCGCTTAGCAACAGAAATGCCGGGCTCGGTTTTGGTCGTAAGCCGAGGTCATGTTTCTCAAACATGGCCGCTTGAAAACAAGGGCGGGTGGGGAAAACCTCCTCCAAGTCCCAGAATCCCCCTCCCCGGGGCCTCTAAGCCCCTCCCACTCCACCCCTTACCTCCTGTTTGAGGGATTCGCTGTTGACGTGACGAAGGTTGTTTTTGGCTTGGACGTAAATCTCGGCGGTGTGCGGCATTTCGGGGGGGCTCGGCGCCGGGTACCCCGGGGGTGGGGGGGGGCCCTTGGGGCGGGGGGGGGGGGGGGGGGCCGGGAAGGGGGGGGGGGGGGGCGGAGAGGTTTGGCCCCCCGGCTTTGCGGGGCCCGGGGCCAGATCTGGGTTTAGCATGTCCATGTAGGTCTGCATATCGGTGAGCGCCGTTTCGGGGACCCCTGGAACGAAAATGGGGGGGGGGGGGGGAAATAAAATTGATATCCAACCGGTAGAGCAGCTTAGCAAACGGACTGTTCTGGTTGGATGGCGGGCTGTTGCTTCGAAGGCTGTTTTGGCCAGGTCTCCCCCAAGACCTGGTTCCTACAAGGCACTCTGCACATGCTCGTGGGAGCTCTTGCTATAAAACAAGCAGAGGCGATTTCCCAGAATGAGGCCAGTTGCTTTTCAATGGCATGAAGGCTGCTCTAAAGAGGTGCCGGGACGAGGACGCAGGAGACCCCGCCAACTTTTTCCCAACTGGGTGCCCTAGCTGGACTACAACACCCCTCGTTCCCAGCCTGCACCGGTAGAGCACCGGGGGTATCGGAGAAGCTTCGGAGGCAGGGAGAAAACATGATGTGCCAAACCGTTCCTTAAAAAGCAAGGTTGGCTCTTCCTGCGTCTTGTGAAGGGCGGAAGAAACTTTGGGAAACTGATGGGAAAGGGCACCACCCAGAGATTTACGTCGCGATGAGAATGGTCTTTGCGTATTATCCGGACGCGACATTGGTCGTGCCGGCCGCCGGATCTTGACAGCTGAGCATCGAAAGGTTTGGCTTACGCGGCTCTGCGTAATTCTGCTTCTCCCCCGTGCTGGATTGACTCGAGTGCGAGGAATCGTAGTTGGAGAAGATGCTGCTCGGAGACCCCGTTTCGAAGTGGGTCCGGGGGGCCGAGACGGTGGTGTGGGGCGAGGACAGGCCGGAATCCGGCTGCTTGAGTTCCGTGTCGGCCGAGGGGTCTCGGGACAATACCCGGTGTTCCACACTCTGTGGAGTAAACGAAGGGTTAAAGAAGAGGGAGGTGGCTTCACTCGAACCCAGAACCTCGTGGTTAAACTCATCCTGGACTTTCTGCCCCTCCCTCCTCCCCAATTTTCAGGAGAGGCTTCCTTCCTTCCTTCCTTCCTTCCTTCCTTCCTCCCTCCCTCCCTCCAACCTTCTTTCTGCCATGTATCTTTTCAACCTCAAAATCATAAAACCACAGAGCCGGAAGGGCCCCCGGAGGTCTTCTAGTCCAACCCCCTGCTCAAGCTAGACCATTTCAGACAAACGGTGGTCCGGCTTCTTCTTAAAAACCTCCAGGGATGCAGCATCCACAACCTCTGGAGGCAAACCGGATTGAAAGCAAGGACAGGACAGATGCCCACGAAATTGACACCTGTTTCCCCCCCCCCAAGTCACGCCTGCAGATCGCACCCCCTTAAAAGGGCACCCAACACCCAGGGGCCCCTCTTACATTGCCCATGATGCCGGTGGGGGGTGGGGGGCAGGGGCTTCTCCTTCCGTCGCAGCCCAAAGCTCAATCAACATCCAGCGTAAAATAACAGGCTTATTTGCCTCCCTGGGGGTTGCTCGACATCACAGCCAGCCCTGGCAGGATTTACACCCGGTGCCCAGGGTAACCAGCAGCTGGGGAATTCCCCCTGGCATTGGGGAGCTTTCAAAAAGCAAAATTCCTCCCCCACCCCCGAAACAAACGGGCCGGAAATAATGTGAAAAGAGTGGGGGTGCTGATTGCAAACACACACACACACCCCGTGCAAAAAATAAACTTAAATCAAATAAGAGGAGGACATTTTCATTGGTTGGGTTTTTAGGCGAGTCGGGATCGATGCCCGTGGTTTGCAAAGCATCATTTAGTGGTGGCAGGGAAGGAAGCCACAGCCGTGGCACGTACCACGAGGTCCTCGTAAGTGGCCAGGGCATCGGTGGCCTTGTTCCAGCTTCTGTGGAAGACCGGTGTTTTTTTAAAATTGTGGCGATAGTTATTTTTCTGGAGTTGTTTTAATGCAACAGGAGAAGCGAGGAGGAAAGAGACGGAGGGGGGAAAGAAAATAAAATAACAGGAGAAACGGAAAACAAATGGGAATGAAAAAATATGAAATAAATATGAACATAATAAAAAAAAGGAGGGAGAAATAAAAATACAACAGGGATGAGAAACGGGAGGGAAGGGAGAAGCCGAGCGGAGAGAGAGAGAAGGGAAAAATAATGAATAAGAGGAGAAAGTAAATCAACGAAGGAGACAGGACAAACAGGGAGAGGGACAAACAGGGGGAGGAAAAAAGAATAAGGGCAGAACATAAACAGAAAAGAAAGAAGAGCGGGAAGAAGAAAGGAAGAGAAAGGAAGAAATGGAGGAGGGAGGGAAATGTTAACAATCGGTGCCATAACAGAAACAGAAAACTCATAAAAATAAAGACAAGAACAAAAAGATTAAAAGGCAATGCAACAAAACTGAAAATTAAATGGAAAACAGAGAAAAAATACAATAATGTAAATAGCATCTATCTGTCTATCTATCTATCTATCATCTCTATCTATTATCTATCTATCTATCTATCATCTCTATCTATTATCTATCTATCTATCATCTCTATCTATCTATTATCTATCTATCTATTATCTATCTATCTATCTATCTATCATCTATCTATCTATCTATCTATCTATCTATCTATCATCTATCTATCTATCTAGACAATAGATGATAAATAAATATAGACATGATAGATAGAAAGATAGACAGATGATAGATAATAAATAAATATAGAGATGATAGATAAGATAGAAAGATTGATTGATTGATTTGCTGGATTCACTTAATGACCATGGCAAAAACAAGGTTATAAAATCAAGGGGGCCTCACTTAAAGACTGGAATGCTTAATATTTTTTTGCCCCGATTATGGTTGTAAGATGAGGACTAAGAACAGTGGCTCAAATCAGGGCATTGACGGACGGATGAAAGGATAAGTCCGAGGCAAGTTTGAACACCACTAGATGCCCCTTAGAAGCCCCGATATTCCTCCCAAGCCCCTTTCCATCCCCTCCCCCCTGTGGGTAAGACTAAGCCACCCTCCCCGCCACATCTCTGCACCATGTTTTCCACCGTCCGGAGGTACTTGGCGCACTGCGAGTGGCCGTTGTAGTCGGCAAGGTCCGCGGCAGTGTTGCCCTCCTGGTCGCGCAGGCTGAGGTCCACGCCGTTAACCACGAGGATCTGACAGCACTGGGGGGGTGGTAGAGAGAGAAGAGGACATGGGTGAGCAGAAGGGGGAACTTGGGGGGGTTGGACTAGATGACCTCAGTGGTCTCCCTTTTCTCCCACTCATTCTAGGCATCTATATTTTGATTGAGATTCCTCCCACCGGGCAGCAGGTTGGGCTGGATGACCTCCGAGGACCCTCTCAAAAGCCTTCCGTTTTAGGCTTCCGTCTTTTAATTTGGGTTTAGAATCTAGAATTTCAGTTTAGATTGTGGTTCCCGGCGGGGTCGGACTAGGTGACCTCAGAGACCTTTCTCAACCCTTCCAGTTGTGTACATTTCAATTAGGATTCCTTCACCAGGCAGGGGGTTGGACTGGATGATCTCTCTGCCAGCTCACCTCCAGCTCCCCGTTCTCCGCCGCGTCGTGCAAAGGGGTTCCCCCCCACCGGTCCACCACAATCTCCCCGCCGTGTAAGAGCAGCCAACTCAGGACTTTGGCGTGGCCCCGACTGGCCGCGAAGTGCATCGGCGTGGCCCCGTCGTCGTCCTGCTCCGACAGGTGGACTTTGGTGAAACTCACCTGCGTAGCCAGCAGGATAAATTTAAAAAATTAAACAATAATCAATTAATCGAGAACCGGAGTCTCAGTGATGGTGGTGGTGGCCTCCCCCAGGCCCTCCTCGACTTATGACCACAAGGGAGCCGGAAATTTCCGCTGCTGAGCGAGATGTTGGTCGAGCGAGTCTCGCTCCCTTTTATAACGACCCTTCGTGCCACGGTTGCGAGGGGAATTGCTGCTGTGGTTAGCGACACGGTCGTTCAGCAAATCGGGCTTCTCTTCCCCCTCCCGGAAATGCTGCGACCGTCGTAAATATGAGACAGTGTCCAAGCTGCTCAAATTTTGATCACTGCGACCGTTGTAAATACGAGACAGCATCCAAGCTGTCTGAATTTTGATCACATGAACAGACGTAGGTTAAAAAAAAACCCTGTTCCTAAGTGGGTTTTTTTTCCTGTGCTGTTGCGTCACTAAACAAATGGACGTAAGTCGAGGACATGGGTCTGCATGTGAACGACAGCAAGAAAAGCTTTCTGCCTACCCCCCTCCCGCAGACACACATGTCAACTCAAAAATACTCCTTTGGTCTTTTTAGTGGCCAGCAGAAAGGGAGTGGGGAGAAAGCAGTGCATTCCTTAAATGCTCCAGATAATTGCTAGGCAGCCAAAGCTGTTGGCACGCAAGATTATTACCGGAGAGCGTGATGGATGGCTCTTGGCTATGGATGTGTCCCATTGGAGAATATACATCCAGGGGGTGGGGGGAAGACCAGGGTCAATGGGGAAATGAATGATGGGTCTCAGAGTCGGCTGCAACCAGGCAACGCCAACTGGGTCGCTCCTAATAAATCCATCTTTAAACTCTGAGAGATGCAGCTAGAGACTTGTGATTTGAATGGAGGTGGATGCCGGAAGCCTAACAAAACACACACACACACACACACACACACACGATGTCCCGCCCCCTTCCTTGCTCACCAGCCAGACAATGACAGTGTTGTGGCCCATCTGGGCTGCGGCATGGAGGGGCGTCATGCCGTCGTTGGCGCGTAGGTGAGGGTCAGCCCCACACTCCTTGACCAAGTACTGGATGATCTCCAGGTGGCCCTCTTGGCAGGCTAAATACAGGGGGGTGGCACCGTTCTTGGTTTGGGCATTGACCGAACTGGAAAGAGAGAGAGAAAAAAAGAAATAGAAAAAAAATCAGATTTTTTTTTTCCAGGATCAAACCGTGAAGGTGCTGGGTGGCGGGTTCGATTAGATGACCTACAAGGTCCCCTTCCAACTCGAATCTGTTGAAATCTGTTGAATAAGTTCCATTTTGGGGGGGCAAAGCGATTGAATCAACTACAGGGGGGAATCCTCGACCTACAACCAGCATTTCTGTCTCTAAGCGAGGCATATTTTTAAAGAAGTGACGTGTTGCCCCATTTAAAGACCCTTTTTTTGCCACCGTTGTTAAGGGAATCACGGGGCTCGGATGCCCTCTGCCTCCGGAAACGCCCCATGAAAAGCCTGTTTAATATTTCAAAAAGGCAACATAAGAAAAACTCAGCCGGGCTTTTTAATAATTGATTGGAGAAGCCGAGTTCTTTGCAACCTTATTCTCTTTCCATCTGCTCCTAAATGTTGAGTTGTCCTTGTTGTTGTTGTTCTTTTTCTCTTGCCTGCAACACACAAACACCGGACAAACAATCGCGTTGTGTGTGTCCCAAAACCAGTGCAAATTTCTCCTCCGTTAACTTCAGCCTCTCCAACGGAATAAATGATATTTATTCCGGCTGTTAATTAGAGATAGGGAAGGGCTTTCATTAGGGTGAATGGGCCCTTGAGGTTGTGGTTGTGATAGATACGGTAGAAAGATAGATAGATGAGAGAGAGAGAGAGAGA